AAGAAATGTGCACATTATTGACATAGACAGTGACTTTCCGTTCTTTGAAAATTTTCTTAACTATTACATCTTTAGAATCGCTCTCATTCGAATGTAGTATCGGTTCATTCATGTACCCCTAATTTTACACGCCATTTATTTTTATTTTAGTTGAATAAATATTAAAATAGAGATGAAAACGTGGACGTTTCTAAAAGGTTAATAAGTGCATGTGAACTTGTGTATTGCATGGACACTTCACATTTAATGATAGAATAGACAATTCCATAATTTTATAAAAAATTATTCTTTTTTTTATTAAAAAGGATAGAATAGACAATTTTATGGTTACTTTTAAATAAAATTATTTAATAATAATAATAATAATAATAATAATAATTGGCCAAAGGAATCATGGCCCTTGGTGGTAGACAAAACATAAAAGTTGGCTCCTTTTGTTCGGACTCAAACCACTGACGTTACCGACGCTCGCTTTTTATTAGACACAAAATTTAATTTTATATTTAATAGATCACTTCATTTTTAAAAATTATAAATATAGAGCAAATAAAAAATTTAAATACTTATAAATTTTTTAATTAATTTAAAGTTTTAATGAATATATATGTTTTTTTTAATAAAAAATGTGGTAAAATAATTAATGATGGTCACTATTGGTTGTTCTTATCATGGTGATGCTTATTGATATATTATTTTTGGTTGATATTTTGACAACACATTAATAATAATAATAATAATAATAATAATAATAATAATAATAATGAAAATGAAAATAATAAATAATGAAAGAAAACACGAGCATATTATTAAAAATTGGATGGTAGTGCAAAGGAATTCAACGTGACCCTTTAGAGCAAAGAATAACACCAAATTTAAAGTAGAGAATCACTCTCAAACCATATATGTCCCCATCAATATAATCAATACTCTATACAATTAATTTACCCTTAAAAAACTATAGGTTAAACAAATATTTTCCGTCCTCATTTTATTAGTATCATTTCCTCCCTCTTTTTAACGGGATTTGAATCAATATTTGAAATCTAGATTCGGTATCTGATTACCCCGACATGATCATATTACCTATTTGTCTTCTAAGTGTTTCTAAAAGTGAAGGATATTTCCACGAGAAATGTTGTAATCGCCCAGACCCATGGTTAGCAGATATTGTCTACTTTGAGCTGTTATGTATTGCCTCCAGCCTCACGATTTTAAAACATGTCTATTAGGGGAAAATGCTCATAAGAGTACACATATGCTTCTTTCCTCTCTCCAACCGAGGTAGGATCTCACAAATGCTCTAAGAAATTTGAACTTTTGTTATTAAATCCTTTATTAGTATATATAGTAGCTATCAATTCTCTTATGTCTTTTGCCAGTATTATATCATTAGCATCACTCTTATTCAGATTCAGATGTGACTCTCAGTTAATTCATCTACTATTATAAGTATCATACTTGTTAAGTTTTCTCACGTTCCCGTTCTTGTTGTAACACAAACAAGAAAAAGTGACCAATTTTAAAATTTTGGTCGTGTTTAGACATTAAAAAAAAAAACAAAAAGTAACTTAGTACAAAATTGGTCCCCTAAAAATGATGTTTTTTAGCGTAAAAAATAATAATCCAAAAATATCACGATTCAAATGGACAGGAATTAAAAATGGCCACAAAATTAAATAAATAAATAAAGTGATTGGTGAAACGGGTCACATGGAAAACATGGTACCCATTGCAACAACTTGGCGTCTCTCTTCCGCTAGATTCTATATATATATATATCTATATATATATCTATATCTATATATATAGATTGTGCGTTTAATTTAAAAATAGAATTTATCGAGTTTAATTAATTAAAAAAAAAAAAAAAAACTGATGGGATATAAATTCAAGAATAAAATAATTGGGCCCATTTCATGCTAAAGTAGACGTACACACGTTTTGGTCTTTAATTTTATATCCTCTGGGCCCACCCCATGTGATTGCCTTTATTATTATTGCCACTTGGAAAACGATGCCTCAATCAAATATTTCTAATAATATATATATTTTTAAATATTTTTTTATCCATTTTAATAATATTAAAATATTACACTCTCACTAATATTTACGTTATTTATTAATAAATTTAATTATTTTAAAGATTTTACGTATTTATCATCGAAAACACATCTAAATGAGAGTGACCTAATTATAGAATGACTAAGAAACGTCTAAAATAATTGAAAGTCATTATCTATACTAGTATGGAGCATCTTCCTTTTTGTTCGGTGACCTCTTAAAATTTCAAAAAATGTATATGAGTAAGTAACGTGACCATATCGTAAGGGATGTAGAGAAATGTCAGAGCATACAGGTATTAAATTCAGATTATGGATCATGAGCATCGTTTGTTACACAGTTTTTTTGGTATTTTTTATTTAAACAAAAGTTCACATGATTTTTCATATCTATTCCAAATAAGTATCTTAGTAAACGTTATCATGTTGATTTTTTGTCAAATATTTTAATAATTTTATCATAATTCAGTAGCGGAAATTATTACGAATAGAATCTGAAAAGATATAGGGTGAGAAACGAGGGACAAAATATGTCCCACACAAAAGTTCAATTGTCCATTTTTAATTTCAATGGTGAATTGAAAAGACCCCTTCAATCGACTTTTATGATAGGGTCGAAAATGGCTCACCTTTCTCGTTCTCATCTACAATATGTGTCAAAATTAATTGCACTACGCTCAAATTAACATTAATTAAAAATAATTTAATTATAATTTTAAACTAAAAATTTACCGAGCATATATGTGAATTATCTTTAAATTGATATTAAGTTATAATATTTTAGTTCATTTTATTTTCTAAAATAGTACGGTAAAATTTGATGTTTGACTCGGTCAAAGTAAAATTTGACGAATATTAAATTTAATAGGGCTTGGAATATAATCCGAGGTGGCAATTGGGCCCACCAGCGACACATGGCGACCCCACCGAATAAGGAAATGTGGGAAATACTTGAGCCTTAGTTGGGACCACTGATTTATTTTTTGTTTTTTTGAAGTAATTTCAATAACTTAAAAACTAACAAAAAATATAGAACAAACAAATAATTTTAAATTAGCTCAATAATAATATTCGAGAAAGAAAAATAAATAATTTTATTTTAAGTTTGAAAATGTAGATTGGTGTTTTGTAAATTGATATTAAATCGTTCTAATTAATCAAAATTTCCATATTATTTAAATTATATATAATATTATTAAATATTTAATTTCTAATTTTTATATGATTGTAATTTTTACTTGATAATTCGGCTTAAATATTAAAAATGTAAGAAAAATATATTCCATTTTCCAATAAAAAAAATATATATATTTTTTAAATGATGGATGGTATTGATGTAAACTTGGAAACGACGTGAAATAATGATAAAATTGACAATTTTTAAAAGCTTTATCAATAAATGTGATATATATATATATATATATATATATATATATATATATATATATATATATCATTTTTGGCTTTTGATTTATTATTTATTCTATAATAGAGTTTTATTTATAAGCTTTATTATATTTGGTTAATTTATTAAATTTTTATCAAATGGTTGACCACAAACTAATTAATTTTTTTAGACATTATCATGATGGTGGGTTTTTAGTTGAATTAGATATATTAAATTAAATTACAAAATTTATTAAAATGGGTTGAAATTTTAGAATTAATCACTATAATTTAATAGAAATTTCATAAACATACCGAACTATTCATTAAAGTTTTATAATTTTAAAAATAATAGAGATTAGATTTTAATTTAAATTGTACGAACAAATTTATAATTTAACTATTTTTAAGAGCATCACAATAATTAATTATATTAGTAAAATTATTGGTTGAAAATAATGAACAAATTATTTTCAGCTAAAAAGAATTAGTACATTTTAAAAGGCTATTTATAATTATTTTATATTAGTGGAAATTAACGTAAATATCAAGGAATAAAGAATATTTTAAAGCTAAATTTGGTAGGTTTCATTAATGTAACTGTTTTTTTTTCCTGAAGAAATTTAATAATTCTTTTAGTTTCCATTAATGTAACAATTAATGAATAATAAAGTCAAACTTATACAGTCATAAGCTATTAATTAATTTCAGGTGACGTGGAAATTCGACAATCCAACACATGGAGAAATAAGACTTTTCACGACGAAGTAAAATTTAAAATCCACTTATTTTTTTTTATATTTTGAAAAAGAAAAATTTAAGGGAAAAAAAAGAGGAGAAAGGATATTAAAATATTAACGTGGCTGAATTAATTAATTAATTAAAGAGGCTGTTTATTTATTTAATTATTTAATTTTGGTTTATGTAGGGTGGGCGAAAGAGAATATATTATTGAATAATAATAAAGTAATAGAAAAACTAAAAATGAGGTGGAAAAAATTATCCACGTTTGGAGCTCACGGATTCGAGAAAATCCAACTAACTAACACGTGGCGATGAAGACGCGTGGCTCGACTCGCACGTGGTCGTTTTCCCATTTTACCCACTTTCATACCCCATCTCAAGGACCCGAATCTCTTAATCAATCTAACGGCTCAGATTTCACAGTGCCACGAGCCTTAATTATTATTTATTAATTATCGGTAATTTGTCTATAAAGTTAAATCTTATAAACTTTCTTTATATAAATTATAAAAATAAGAGTCTTTTCTTATATAATTTGTCACTAAATTATCATAATTAAGAAAATTATAATATTTAAATTATTTTGTTGGACCAAAAGTGAGTATTAATAGTATATAAATGAAAAGAAAATTCAAAATTCAAAGAAAAAAAAGGCAAAATTAATTGAATATCTAAAATTATAAATAGGGAAATAATAAAAAAAATTGGGACCAAAATTATTTGAACTTTTATTTATTTTTATAATACATTTAACATTAAATTCCTTTTATTTATTTTTTTGAATAAAAAGACGTGCTTCTCTCGCTTTCCTCTCGCATTGATATTAAAAAGCGCTGAAATTCTCTCGTATTTTTTTTCTCTGCCTATTTCTCTCTCAGTGAGCGCTTAACTTTCATGGTCTTGGAGCTCGAAACTGGCTCGATTCTTCATCGCTTCGAAACTCTGCAGGTATTTTTTCGGCGTTAATTCTTTCGAGGATTTCAAATGGAGAGAGATTTCTTAGGTTTGAACTCGAAGAATGACGCTATGGCGTCGAGAGAAGATTTCTCAGATTCTTCTAAGAATTCAGGTATGTTCATGTCTCGTCTTCTTCATCATCGTCTTGTTCATCTGTTTCGATTTCCATGGAAGTTTTGTTTGATATCTTGGAAATCTGTTTGGTGAATTTGATACTCGGAAATGTCTCTGCTAGGGCTTAAGTTTGTTGTATCAACGAAATTTCTTTTGGAAAACAGGAAGAGTTAGAGAAGAAATGAAGATTGAGGAAATTATTGTCTGAATTTAGAATTTATTTTCTCAGGAACCAAGCAGAAAATTAGAAAGGAAAATCTGTTAGAATAGGCGTAAAAACCACGTTTCGCACGCTGTACCGAAATGTAAATTTGATGTGCAAAAGAACTGACAAGCCAAAAAGTTTTTGGGGGAATTTTTTATATTAAAAATAATTGTTTTTAAAAATACATGAATTGAAATATTATTATTTGTGTACTGCGTGTAATTTTAAATTTTTTGGAATTTTTAAAATAGGGAAAATGTGAAAATTTGGAAAATAATTTATTAAATTAATCAATGAATTTTGTTCTAAATTAATTTAAACTTAAACTTTAATCGTTTAATTTATGTATTAAAGAACAGTGACGTGGCAATTTCAGTGCGGTATAAAAGAATAATAACAATAAATAAATAGATAATACAGCTGGATAGCTGCAATGATCATATTAACAATTAAATACTTCAATCCCGTGGTAAACACTCGGTTTATTTTTTTAAAAGAAAAATTAAAGTTTTTTTAATCACACGTCGGTGTGGGTCTTCATTATAATAATGAATCATGGCGATGTAATTATTTAATTTTTTTTTTTTGAAGTTTTTAAGATTTTTTCCGTTAATCTCCCAAGATTATTGATCATAGGATTGTGGAATGAAATTTGATTGGTTCAGGCATGCAGTGGGCATTCTCAAACAAAGTTTCTGCTCTTCCCCAGTTGCTGTCTTTCAAGGCTGCTCAAGATGAGAAGCAAAGGAAAATTGTTGTTGATCCATTGGTCTCTTCTGACCTTTCAAATCTTACCCATAGGCCATATTCTTCTGTGATTCAGGTTTCACTTTCTTCATTTTGTTCTTGATTATGCTCTGAATCTGCAATTCTCTGTTTTTTGATTTCTAGTCATCAATGGCTTGGACTCTGTTCATTGATTTGAAGTTGGTGATTTTGTCTTTTGTTTGTAGAAGAATGTAGTTCTAGATAAGAAGGCTGGTAACCAGTATGCAATGGCGGTTTATCCGTTCCAAAATGGCGAGGCGATTTCGGTACATCGTTCACAAGATGTGAAGATGTTTCCCATCTCGAACCAAACTAAAACTAACAATGCTGTTCCTGTGGCTTTCAATGTTCCGGTGTTTCAATCCCAGTTGGTTTCTTCTGGCCAAGCTGTGGTTGGTTCCAATGTTAACTTGCAGCCATTTGGTGGTGTTCCAATTGCGACCTCTGTTTCTGTTCCTTTCACGAGCTCGGTCATCGGTAGCACTGAGCTAAGGTACTTGTTTTTCAAGATGGAGCTGTGAAAGATGTCAAAGCCTAAATGTCTTGAAAATTGATGCTTACTTTTCTTTGTAGGAATGCTTCGAAACCTCCAGGTTCAACGCCGCAGCTGACAATCTTCTATGCAGGATCTGTTTGTGTTTATAATGATGTATCTCCTGAGAAGGTATCTGTTCTTTTAAAAACTCTAATTTCGTTTTGCCTTCTCACCACGTGGGGAAGAAATTGTGAGATCCCACATCGGTTGGGGAGGAGAACGAAACATTCTTTATAAGGGTGTGGAAACCTCTCCCAAGCAGACACATTTTAAAAACCTTGAGGGGAAGCTCTAAAGGGAAAACCCAAAGAGGACAATATCTGTTAGTGGTGGCTTTACGCTCTTACAAATGGTATTAGAGCCAGACACTGGACGATGTGCTAACAAGGACGTTGAGCTCCGAAAGGGGGTGGACAAGAGGTTGTATGCCAGCAAGGAGCCTCAAAAGGAGGTGGATTGGGGGGTCCCACATCTGTTAGAGAAGGGATCGAGTGTCAGCCAGGACGCTGGGCTCTGAAGGGGGGTGGATTATGAGATCCCATATCGGTTGGGAAGGAGAACAAAACCTTCTTTATAAGGGTGTGGAAACCTCTCCCTAGAAGATGCGTTTTAAGAACCTCGAGGGAAAACCCGAAAGAGGACAGTGTCGGTTGACGGTCGGATTTGGGCGGTTACAAGAATCAATTCTCAGTTCTTGTTGTTTGATGTTTCTATTCAGGCTCAGGCTATAATGCTTCTGGCTGGCACTGGAGGGCTGCCTCAAACAGAAAACAACGTACATCCCATCGGTCAAGTGAAGGCATCATTCCCCAACGAAAACTTCCAAGGAATGCCACTCCTCGGCCTTTCAAGTCCGCCTTCTGTTGCACATTCTAAGAGTCCTAATGCAGGGTTAGGATCTTGTAGTAAAATTGAGCTACCTGCTGCACCAAAACGTATACAAACCCCAGCATCCCATTCAAACTATTCCGAACCTCCTAAGGATGCTCGTTCCATTGCACCGATTACTACGACATTCATACCTGCAGGTATAAAGCCACTTCACTCTACTCTAGTCCATATTTTTTCATAAGTGATGATTTAAACAACAAACATGCTGACATTCCTCCTATCACCTCCTCCCTACAGCTGTGCCTCAGGCTCGAAAAGCATCCTTGACTCGGTTTCTAGAGAAGCGCAAGGAACGGTGAGTTTTCGACCTGGTTCTTTTAACTTGAGTGTTTAGTTCTACTTCGACTCGGAATCTCACGAATTCGTTCTCATGTTGTTTTAGGATAAACACATGCCCCTACAATATTGGAAAGAAAGCATCAGACTGTTCATCCACAACCTTGGATCTGATGGCCTGATGTCTCTCTCGCTTTGGACATACAAAATCGGTTTGTCCTCCATATTAGAGAATTGGATATAAAGCAAAATTTGTCAATCTGTTAGCTTAGATTGATTCTTGGTTTTGTTTTTTTTATATAATTTTCTTTTGTTCAATTGAAAAGCGCAGTTAGTTTCGATTGAACAATATGTAACTTAGTTGCTCCATGTTTATGTAAAATATTGCTTTTTATTTACACCCAGAGAAAAAAAAATGGGATGATATTTTGTATGTAAAACTATTCTGAATGATTCTATATTGTTCTTTCCTCTACTTGAAAACGTGATAGAGAATCAAACTGAAAATGTTTCTATCTCTTGGTCCCATTCATCACATGCTGAGAACATTTTGGCTGTGTTCTTTATGATCTTTCTCTCTCTCTCTCTAGACTGTTCTTTAGTGTTCACATGTTATTTTAAATTTCAAATGAGGAATAATTCCCACAAGAAAAAGTACTTTCGACCACATATAGAGAAGAGCTTGGGCCATTCCCAGATATTTCTTGTTTCTCTGGATTTACACCAGATTTCCTCGTTGTCTATGTTTTTTTTGTAACCGCCCAAGTCCACTGCTAGCAGATATTGTCCTCTATTATAAGTTTTTCTTTTCGGGTTTTCCCTCAAAGTTCTTAAAACGCGTTTGCTAGGGAGAGGTTTCCACACCCTTATAAAGAATGCTTCATTCTCCTTCCCAACCGATGTGGGATCTCACAATCCACCCCCCTTCGGGGTCCAGCGTCCTTGTTGGCATTCGTTCCCTTCTCCGAACTATGTGGGACCCCCCTTCTCCCCCTAATCCACCCCCTTCGAGGCACAATGCCCTTGCAGGTACACCGCCTTGTGTCCACATTACCCGATGTCTGGCTCTGATACCATTTGTAACAGTCTAATTCCACCAATAGCACCACCAATAGCAGATATTGGAAACGAAAGAAAAAACTAGCTGTGTTTGTTGAACTGTGTTGATAGGTAAAATGAAAACTGACATTTAGAATTTCAAGTATAAACATTCTCATGAGCTTGGTTTGAGTATGCATTGCTTTGCTTAAACTTGCTCAAAATGACTTAGCTTGTTTCTTGTTTTTTTGATTCAGCCTCTGGAAAGCGATTCTGATGGCATTACAATCTTCAACTTATTCCCATTCAAAAGCCTAGAGAGATACAAAGATGATGCTTGCTTCATTTCCTCTCATTCTTGGAGTAAAATCTAAGAACCACATAGAAGAACAGCCGGTAAAGCACCCCCCAAGCTAGTAAGATACCAATGTCATACCATATATTTCGCATATTAACGTCCATCGAGAACAGAACGTCTTCTCCGATCAGCATGCAGTTTGGCTGCAAATCCCTAGAAACATTGTGCAGCTTGCTAATCCTAACATCTCCCAACGGCCCGGGCGAAAGATCGTTGGGATTTCCCTGATAACATCTTTTCCCTTTGAATTCATTGATCAACAAGGATTCAAATGGATACTTTATTGCAGAGATGTAATGAAGCCATCTCCAGTATATTGGTATTTGAGTTCGTTTCAGGAAGAATCCACAAGTGAGGAAGAAAATGGCTGTGGTGGCTATTACAACTGCATAGCCTGTGATATAGCTTGGTACCAACGCACTCACAAGCATAACATATGCATTTGTTGTGATGAGTGAGGCAAAAAGTGATATCCAGAAGAAGAACAGGTTGCTTTTCAAGTGTAGCCAGAATTTGGTTATGGCTGCAAATGTGAAGCCTTGAATCGCGAAAAATGGGAGATAGACAATGAGGGAGGAAATGACATATGACGAAGCTCGATATGCATTGTGAGATGTCTCTCTGATGAAGATGAATCTTTCTTGAATGAATGTCGGGACAGCGTCGTTTGAGGAAAAGAAAACGAGACAAACTGCAAAGATGTAGAAGTTGAGAAGTCTGTTGATGTCTCTAAACGTAGCATGACCGAGATTTTTGAACATAGTCGAAAGGATTATCGCCATTACTGTCAATACAATCTCACGAGATAGAAACAATTCTGGGGTGCGGATCACGTTGAGCATCGTCCTCCATGAAAGCACGACGACCTCACGGAGCCAAGGATTTGCATATTTGGGACCATGGTCTGGCTCATCAAGAACTTCTTCCATGTCCAACTCTTCAAAAGAAGGTAAATGAGAGTCCATTGACATGTTGAAGACGGAAGGTATTTTTGCGTGAGTAGTCGTTTGATGAGACGACGGAAATTGACTCGAAACGACACTTCTAACTCCGGATACAGGTGTTTTTCCTGGTGTTTGTCCCGGCGTCCTTGCAGGAGTCCACGATGGTCGTCGACCAGGAGTTCCTTTAACACCATTATAGACCCAAGCAGATAAATCTTTGTAGAATTGAGATGCTAAAGGAGGGTAGTAAACACCGCTACGATTATTCATCGGAGTTCTAGCTGATTTACGTTCGAGAGATTTATCAAAGTCGTCGTCCTCGTTATCATCATATCCATATGCTGAATCAAATTGGCTTGAGTTTGGCCCTGATGTCATGGAGAATGCTTGACTACGAAGGTTTAGGAACTTCGGTCCTGGCCCCGGACCGTTTTTGTAAGGAGCTTTAGGTGTTTTCGGAACAGGAGTCTTTGCAACTAGATCGGGTTTGATACCGTGTCGTTGGTATAGCACGAGAGGCTCCAACCCGACATTTGATTCGTCGTATTCCTTGATCACATCCAATAGATATTCTATGCCATTTTCATCATCTGGCACTGGCCTTCCAAAGCCAGAGAGATGAGCAGAAAGGTTGAATGGATTTCCAACGTATATCAATCTCCCCCTGTAATAGTCACATTTGAAGCATGAATTGCCATTACAATGAACCAAGTTCAGAGGCGTAAAGGATCTTATACCTGGCAAGAACAGTGATGCGATCAAGTAGTAGTTGAATTCTGTAAGAAGGTTGATGAATGGTCATCAGAACAATGCTGCCATTTCGAGCTATCTCTTTCACCTTCTCTACTACACTATAGGCACTCGTAGAATCAAGCCCGGAGGTCGGCTCGTCCAAAAATAAGAGCGACGGTTTGTGGATGATGTCGATTCCTATCGACACTCTTCGTCGTTCACCTCCCGACACTCCTCTCCTCCCTTCATCACCTATATATGTATGCATGGCACTCTAGAACAAAGAGAAACAAAATTATTAGTTCGGGAAGAATTAATTGTAACAGCCTAAGCCTATCACTAGTAGATATTGTCCTCCTTGGACTTTTCCTTTCGGGCTTTCCCTCAAGGTTTTTAAAACGCGTCTACTAGGGAGAGGTTTCCACACCTTTATAAAGAATGCTTCGTTTCCCTCTCCAACCGATGTAAGACCCCCCAATCCACCCCCCCTTTCGGGCTCAGTGTCCTTGTTGGTACACTGCCTCGATGTGGGATCCCCCAATCCACACCTCCTTCGGGCCTTAGCATCCTTGTTGGCGTACTACCTCGTGTCCACCCCCTTTCAGGGCTAAATCTCTTCGCTGATATATCGCCCGGTGTCTGGCTCTGATACCATTTGTAACAGTCCAAACCCTCCACTAGCAGATATTGTCTTATTTGGGCTTTTCCTTTCGGGTTTCCCTTCAAGGTTTTTAAAATGCGTCTATTAGGGAGAGGTTTCACACCCTTATAAAGAATGTTTTGTTCCCCTCTCTGACCGATATGGGACCCCCCAATCCACCCTCCTTCGGGACCAAGCATCCTTGTTGGCACACCGCCTCGTGTCCACCCCCCTTCAGGGCTAAGCCTATTCGCAGACACATCACCCAGTGTCTGGCTCTAATACTATTTGTAACCACCCAAGCCCACCGTAACAGATATTGTTCTCTTTGCGCTTTTTAGTGGAGAGGTAAGATGGAAGGAAAGTGGTATATACCTGTAGACCTAGTTGGTCGATGAGCTCGTAAACTCTGTTCTTCTTTTCATCCCTAGAAATAGAGGATGGAAGCCTGACCTCAGCTGCAAACATGAATGTCTCAAACACAGTTAACATTGGGAAGAGTTGGTCATCTTGCATAACATAAGATGAAACCATCTTCATGTAACTTGCAGTCACAGGTCTTCCATCAATCTTAACAGATCCTTCAAGGCTTCCTTTCGCCATCCGACCAGCCAAGGCATCAAGAAACGTCGATTTCCCAGCGCCACTCGGCCCCATGATTGCCATGATTTCACCTCGCATCGCTTGTCCAGAGATATCATTCAAAAGATAAGCTTCTCTTTTGATCCAAACACCATCCTTTTTAAACTTCTTTAGAACACTATATGACAAGTTGTTGAATTCCAAGCCTTGTCCCGGCAACAACTTGACTTGCAGCTGCGGTGGCGGAGCGACAACCTTGTCGTTATCGAGAAGGGTCTCGAGACTTTTGTTTGCTCGTCTCCGGCCATCTGCTGCCATGAGTATTGGGTTTGTAGGATTTGAGAGGCAAGAAAAGTGGCATTGACAAGAGGCAGGGAGGGAGAAGCTATAAGAAGGTTTAAAAAGGGGCAGAAATTTGGACACGAGGGAAGGAGTTGGAAGGGAGAAATTAACAAGAAAAACTGATTGTTTGTCTCTGAAATCTCTTTGTTTATGTCACTGTCTGACTTCGGTAACTCCAACACTCTCCATCACTGAAGGCCAGTGGGGGATAAAACCAAGAACACAAATGAAGAATATTTCGACAAATACTGCCCCGAATCTAGCTATTCTCTCTTTTCTTCAACCCACAAAACTGGAGCCGCAAAATAAAAAAAACAGAACAAAAAATGACAGCTGTGGGATTTGAACCAACGCCCTTTCGGACCAGAGCCTAAATCTAGCGCCTTAGACCACTCGGCCAAACTGTCATTTGTTGAGAAGAAAATCTTAAATAAATTACTAATATATATTTCTTAAATTCCAGTTTTTTGTATTGTATAATTTTTAAATCCAATTAAATTGTATTATATATTTTAATAAAAGTTTGAGATAAAAATGTTTTTTTAACCAAAAATAAAATTGAATTTAATAAACACGAGTTTATTAAAGTTATTTTAGTTCTAATTTATTAAATATAACTAATTAAAAAGGTATTTGATTGGAAAATTTTGAAAATGGTAGTAAATAATATATAATTTGTCTACAAATTATTTAATTAAAGTAATAATAACTATGTATTAAATAATATTGAAAGTGTAACTAATATATAAAATATTTTTAATACCTAATTTTCTTTCAATAATTTTATAAAATAAATATTTGATTTATCAGATATAAAAAAGATTATTTAAAATTCAACTAAATTTATTTATTAGTTGTCAACGTTAAAATAAAAAATTTAAAATTTAAAAAATAATTATTTTAAAAGTTTATGGAAGAAATGGATTTATTTAATTAATTTTACAGATCTTAGAAATTGAAGTTTGGGGTGAATAGAATTATACGATTTTGGTTCGAATACAAAGCACAAACCCTCAAGGCCCCGAAATGAGTTTTTCAGCCACAACAGAGCAGAACAGAGCAGGAAGCTGAAGAAGAAGACTGAAGAACTCTCAAATGTCAGCATCAAGAACATGGCATCTTCTTCCTTTGCTAAATCCATAGCTAAATTTCGCCCTTTGATTTTCCTTTCTCGGCACAGCGCGACGCCGACGCCTTTACCTTCGTCTTCTTTCTCGTTCAGCTCTGCGGCTGCAGTTTCTTCTGCTGCTGATCCCCAGTCATCTTCGCTTTCTCAAGCTCAACGTGAGTTTCTGAACTTTCTTCTATCTGGATTGGTCTTGATTTTGCGAAGTGATTTAGGTTCTTGTGAGTTTTATTGTTTAAAATCGCGTATTGCTTGGTGGGTATTTTCTTAGAGAAACGAAGAGATTCGAAATTGTCAAAATGGCTCCTGTTTTTACCTGGGGCTCTCACGTTTGGCCTTGGAACTTGGCAGATTTTCAGGAGGCAAGAGAAGGTATTTTGATTTATTTCTGGTTTTTGTGTTATGCTTGTTTGAATTCTCTAATAGTGTAGCTTTTCATTACTTATTTAATCATTTATCCAGTTGATTAGTAAAATACCTCCGTTAAAAGAATGCAAGCCTTGAAGACTGTTCTTGACGCTCCTATGCTCCTGACAAACTCTTGCAGATGGATAATCAACTCATTGTTTATACCTCACATTGTTTACAGATGTTGCTCTATTCATTTTGGGGAGGGTTGATACTTTTGAGGATTGTTGGGTTGGCTGATTTAGGGAATGATCATGGGTTTATAAATTAGGAATACATCTTCATTGGTGTGAGGCCTTTTGGGGAAGTCCAAAGCAAAGCCATGAGAGCTTATGCTCAAAGTGGACAATATCATACCATTGTGGAGAGTCGTGATTCCTAACATGGTATCAGAGTCATGCCCTTAACTTAGCCATGTCAATAAAATCCTCAAATATCGAACAAAGAAGTTGTGAGTCTCGAAAGTGTAGTCAAAAGTGACTCAAGTGTGGAACAAAGAGTGTACTTTGTTCGAAGACTCCAGAGAAGGAATAGAGCCTCGATTAAAGGGAGGTTGTTCGAGGGCTCCATAGGACTCGCGGGAGGCTCTATAGTGTACTTTGTTTGATGGAGGATTGTTGAGAGGGAGTCCCACATTGACTGATTTAGGGAATGATCATGGGTTTATAAGTAAGGAATACATTTCCGTTGGTATGAGGCACTTTGGAAAAACCCACTGCAAAGCCATGAGAGCTTATACTCAAAGTGGACAATATCATACTATTATGGAGAGTCGTGATTCCTAATAGATCCTTGAAAAGAATTTATGATTCTCTAAAATTTTGGCCAAAGGGTTTCTTATTGAGGCATTGATTCGGTCAATGGTGTTGAGGGAAACTTTTGTGGCAATCTTTCCATGCCATAGAGAATTTGAACAGTAATTTCTGTTGTTTAGTATCAAAGTTTGCTTCATTTTCCATCCTTGAAAGCTGAAAGTCTGTCTTTTCAACATTAAATCGTCAAAGTAGCATTGTAGGGAGCTAATGTACACCCATTTCTCGTCGAAGTAAGGATCGTCTTTGACATTTTATTTTGCAGAAAGAAATTCTAGATTACAGGCAGAAGCGACTGTTAATGGAACCTGTGAACATAAACAGCTTACTTCCATTGAAAGACAAGCTAGATGATCTGGAGTTCAGGAGGGTGATCTGTAAAGGAGTTTTTGATGAGAAGAAATCAATCTTCGTTGGTCCACGTTCGAGAAGCATTTCAGGAGTGACCGAAAATGGCCATTATGTTATTACCCCATTGATGCCCATTCCTGGCCTACCTGATAGGTATTTTCCAGTCCCTTTTCTCTTATCAAAACTGGCTTTATATTTGTCTTCAGTAGAGAATTGTTCCATTCTAGAGTGGTGTATTTATGAACCATTTTGCTTTGCTTGTAAGTTCATGGCTGTTGAAGTTGCTTCCAACTAACCTCCAAAGCTGGCCTTTTATATTCTGATATGAACATATGAATGGGAATTTTTGTTGGAATTCTTTCATACTTGAATGGTTTTCTTGGCTGTTCATTCACCATAAGGTAGTATGCTATGAATTTCCAAGGACATGGAAGGCCAAATAGCACATTTAGTTCACCAATTCTAACTGCCATGCTGTATGAAAATGGAAATTGTTCTTTCGAATGGATTTTGTAGCTCGATATTCGTTATACGTCACCATTTAACCAAGATTAGATCAAACAACCCTTCTCCAGTGTGCAGTCACCTGTTTTGGTCAATCGAGGATGGGTTCCACGCACTTGGAAGGAGAAGGCTTTAGAAGTAGACCATCAAGGTAGTGAACAGTCTTCAGATACTGCACCCTCCATGGTTCAAGAGAGTGAGAGAAGCTCGTGGTGGAAGTTCTGGTCGAAAACGACCAAGAATCTAGAGGTTCTTTTTGACATTTTTGCTTGTTTAATGTCAATTAACTTATCTTCAAAGACCAAAATTCTAAGTTTGGTTGTTGATATGCAGAATGAAGTGAGCCCCATAACTCCAGTAGAAGTTATTGGAGTGGTTCGCACAAGTGAAAAGCCTAGCATATTTGTTCCAGCAAATGATCCTGGCTCTAGCCAATGGTTTTATGTTGATGTTCCAGCAATTGCACGTACTTCTGGACTCCCTGAGGATGCTATTTATGTGGAAGACATAAATGAGAATGTGAACCCAAGTAACCCGTATCCGATTCCGAAGGATGTTAATACGTTGATACGAAGTTCCGTTATGCCACAGGATCATCTTAATTACACATTAACATGGTATGTCTGTCACCCTTTTCCATTCAGTGTTGAAATGTAATGTTCACTATTTCATTATAAGCATTCAAAGGTTTTAGACTTGGAATAAATTTCAGTGTCTTCTACTTGTGTTAATGATTATCCCAATTGTATTGAGAATTAAGATGCTGCATTCCATCTGATTCCTCTCTTTTGTCATGTGAGATCCCACTTCGATTGGAGAGGGGAACGAAACATTCTTTCTTTATAAGAGTGTGGAAACCTCTACCTAGTAGACTTGTTTTAAAAACCTTGAGGGGAAGCCCGATATCTGCTAGCGGTGGGTTTGGGCTGTTAAAAATAGTATTAGAGCTAGACACTGGGCCATGTGCCAGCGAGAACGTTGGGCCCCCAAGGGGGGTGGATTGTGAGGTCCCATATCGGTTGGAGAGGGGAACGAATCATTTCTTATAAGAGTGTGGAAACCTCTTCATAGCAGACGCCTTTAAAACCTTGAAGGGAAGCCTGAAAGGGAGAACCCAAATAGGATAATATCTGTTAGCGGTGGACTTGAACCGTTAAAAATGGTATTAGAGCCAGACATTGGGCGGTGTGCCAACATCCTCGCTGGCCCCCAAGAGGGGTGGATTGTGGGATCCCACATCGGTTGGAGAGGGGAACAAAGCATTCTTTATAAGAGTGTGGAAACCTCTCCCTAGCAGACGCGTTAAGAAGCTCGAAAGGGAAAGCCGAATAGGAAACTAAATGAATTTCATGAAGATTTTGATATCAAAGAAGCTTCATTTGGGTAGTCTTACACATTCTTATTCTTGCAATGGCTGATCTTTGTGCAGGTACTCTCTCTCAGCTGCTGTGACCTTCATGGCAATCAAAAGACTGAGGCAAAAAACGACTCGAAAATGACGAACATTGTAATTTGATCTTCTTTAGAGCAGGAACGAACCCGGAACTCCTAAATCGTATGTGAGTTATTTTTGTTGGTATTGTTTTTCATAATGTTTTTTTCATTAGAGAAGCTTGAATATCTCATCTCCTTGGGACGTTTTGAACTAGAAAATGCCAAGAAATCCTCAATCCCTTAAGCCATACAGCATGTGGGAAGATAACAACTTTTCCTCGGCCATTAAATTGAGTAAACATTTTGGTATTTCCATAACTAATAAATTTGTTCTTCATTTTGAAATTTGTTTCTTTGAACTGTCAATTTTCTGTGAATATCTTGGATATACTAACCTTCAACATCAGTTAGTTCGCAAAAGGGATGAGCCAAACTCGTGCTCACCCATAGTTAGACGTGAGACTGAGTTTTTTTAACTACAACAACTTAAATATACGCTATTCGAGTCGGAATTATCATAGTTGTTGGCATTAGATCTGCCCTCTCATCGATCTGTTAAATGATTTAGATTGAATTCATTGTTATTATCAAACTCGACGAGCTTGGTATTGTTATTCATTGTCACTATCTCGTGTCATGATTGGATAATTTGTACGCTTGTTGCCTTCCTAGAATGTGGTAACCGTTTCTTAAGCTCTGCACAGGAGCACGTTCTTATATTTTTTTGATTTTATGCTTATTTAGCAACTTTAGATTATGTTTCTATTCTATTCAAAGAAACATTATGGCATGTTAATTGTCTTTTTCATATCGGAATTAAATTAAATTAGTTAAGATTGGAAAATAATAAAATAGGTTATCTTTTTCCTAATTAATATATGATTTTTGTCTTGAGCATACTTCATAATTTACAATTATTTTCGAAAAGAATAAAAAAAGTAGGATTAAAAGAAATTAAAAAAAATGAGAAGAAAAGAAAAGAAGAGGGTCACCACAGGAAAAAAGTTACATTCTTTTTTTTCAAAATTCTTCCATAGTAATAATTAAACCATTTGATTGATTAAATGTAATATATTATATTTAAATAAACTGGACAAATCAAATCCCAAATTTTAGCCGGCACCGCCGCTGCAAATTCCGGTGAGCGATAATGAAAATCGGCAGAGAGCCGCGGCTGACGATGCTTCTTCCTCCGTTGGCGCAGGCGGAAGAACTCTCCCGTCGGCGAACAAATTCCGGCCACTCCTCCGTTGATCCGCCGTAACCACGCCTTCTAGATCCACCGCATTGCCGTAAAAAGCACCATCCCCAAATCTCCGTTCCACCTCAAGAAAGTCGCCCAGAGATGCCGATTTAACACCGTCGTCCCTGCACAGCTGCCACCACTTCCGCTTCCGATCAGAGACTAGCCCCGGCGCCGTCGTCGTTTTTCTCTTTGGCTTTTTGCTCTTGCGGGAAACGTCAGCTGTCGCCGCCGCAGCGGCGGGGTGGTCTCGGCTCTGGGAGGAGACTCGGAAGGCAATCGCCGGGAAGCTCACCCCCATTAAAGTCCCCAAGCTGGTGCTCCTGTCATGGAAGAAGGAACCTGTAGACTGCAAAACAGAATTGAATTCCGAAAATAAAGAAACGGATAAGAGAATCATAAAATGGGAGAAGGCGATGATGGGCACCTCAGTGTCGAGATCGGAGGAGGAAATGAATGAATTCGTCGGAGAAGACGGTGTCGAGAACAGATCGTTCGCCGGATTCAACATTTCTTTTGCTCTCTGTGGGTCTAGAGAAGCAGAGACTGAAATTTGAATTAGAAATAAAAACAAAGAAGACGAGAGAGAAAGGATTTAAGGATTTGGAAACGGAGGAGAGAGATGAAAATTGAAATGTTTCTTTCCCCTCCCTTTTATTTATTCTCAATTTTGCCCTCCAATTTTTCACTTTTTGAATTCTTCCAATTTTTTCCATTCAGCAACTGGATCCATAATTTATCATTCATAGACACTATAAGATCCTTCCATTTAGTACAGACACCGACTTCAAATTTTAAAAATTGAACGGGCTCTCGACACTTATTTTTCCAAAAAGGATAAATGAGCTATGAGTTGATCGATAATTTATAACTCCTAGATGATATAATTATTCTATGTAGCAAGCACGTTAAGCTGATACGAAATCAAATAGACATAAACTTCAAAGTTTAGAAACTAATCTCGTAATTTCATCCAACTTGGGCCCTCAAAAACTTGTTTCTCCAAAAAGGGTAGATGAGCTACGGATTAAACTAATCAAATATTAAAATTATAATATAAAAAGATTAAAACTTTTGAATTTATAAATAAGAATTAAACTTTTTCTGACATGGCGAAGTCCTATTGGTCCAATGATAGTACCTGATGTGTCACCGCCGGATCTCGTCGTCTAGTTTTGGTTTTGCATCAAATCCCACAGAGCTTCGTCGTCGTCTTCTTGTTCTTCATCTTCAAAAGCTCAAACGGAGGACAGATTAGAATGCAACTGAAAGCTCGTAGACTTCAGGTCATTTTTCTAATTCTATGTCTATGCTCTCTTTTCATCAATGCTCGTCCATATCTCATCGTCATCTCTCAAGATGACCTCAAGGATGGTGCACTCGCCGACGACTTCCCCGATTCCGCCGAGTGGGATGAATTTGGGGAACCTGAATCTCAAAACTCCAGCGAGGAGCTCGACCCTGGCTCTTGGCGCCCTATATTCGAACCGGATTCCCCTTCCTCCGCCTCCGACGCGCCGGAGGATCTGTACTACACTGCTTTAGGGAAATTTATGTCGTCGGTGAGTTCCGGTGACTTAAGGTTGATGGAGGAGGCGGTTGCGGACATTGATCAAGTTGCTGCGGGGAGTGGGGATCCGCACGCGCAATCGGTGCTAGGGTTACTACATGGAATGGGGATAATGAAGGAGACGAACAAGGCTAAGGCGTTTATGTATCATTACTTTGCCGCTGAAGGGAATAAGCAATCTAAGATGGCTCTTGCGTATATTTACTTCAGGCAAGAAGTGAGTGGATTTTGACTTCTGTTTAATTCTTTTGAATTCAACCTTTGAATGCATGCCAGATCCTTTTGATTATCGTGTTTTCCAATGGGTAAACCTTGCTTGGTTGCTGCAGATGTATGAGAAAGCAGTCAAGCTTTATGCTGACTTAGCAGAGGTAGCTATTAACAGTTTATTAGTTTCTAAGGACTCTCCAGTGATTGAACCTGTGAGGATCCATAATGGGGCTGAGGAGAACAAGCAAGCCTTGAGAAAGTCTAGAGGAGAGGAGGACGAAGACTTCCAAATTTTGGAGTATCAGGCGCAGAAGGGTAATGCTGGAGCTATGTATAGAATTGGACTATTTTACTATTTTGGACTGAGAGGGTTGAGGCGTGATCATGCCAAGGCACTGTCCTGGTTTTCCAAGGCTGTGGAGAAAGGTGAACCAAGGTCTATGGAACTAGTTGGAGAGATATATGCAAGGGGTGCCGGAGTTGAGAGGGATTACACTAAGGCACTTCAATGGCTAACTCGTGCGTCCAAGCAGCCATCATTTTCTGCTTATAATGGCATGGGGTATTTGTACGTCAAGGGCTATGGAGTGGAGAAAAACTTTACCAAGGTAAGATTACCATTAGTTTCTCTTGCAAATTCTACTTAAACTTACGAATTCCTTGTCGAATTTCTGTCTCTATATGTTGCTGTAATTCTTGCCAACCACTACATCTCAGGCAATACATTTTCCCTGCATCATAAGTGAATTAGAGTCTATTTGATTCAATGGTGTATAGAGAATAGTAGACATCTGCACTTCTGAACCCCTGTGGGCATTGTAACATGAACTTGCTCCCATTTTGACACATCCCTTCCTGCCCTCAGGTGTTGCTAGGTTTGGATCTTAATGCATCGTTTAAATGGGTATCTTTTTCTTTGTATTTTCATGTTCTGAATGTTGGGTTGTTTGGTATATGTTGATATGGCACCTGAATTACTGCTTGTTTCTTCTTTTTTCTTTCCCTTCAAGTAAGTAACTCTGCCTATACCGCTTATAACGTGTTTTCATTTCCTGCCTTCCACATGCTATGTCCTTTAATACAGGCCAAGGAGTACTTTGAGAAAGCTGCCAATAACGACGAGTCTGGTGGTCATTATAATCTAGGAGTTATGTATCTTAAAGGAATTGGAGTAAAGAGAGATGTGAAGAAGGCATGTACTCATTTTATAGTGGCTGCTAATGCTGGACAACCAAAGGCATTCTATCAGCTGGCAAAGATGTTTCATACTGGTGTTGGGCTCAAGAGGAATATTCCTATGGTACATTCACTCAACTATATATATCTGTATGCATTATTGTGGATTTCTAAGGAGTATTTTCTCCAAAACTTCTGAGCAGTTTATTTCACTATCAAATTGGTTGTTTGAAGTTTTCTTTTGGGATATAGTTATCGGAAAGTTTCTCAACCTATTCACATGCATTGTCTAGATGGGCATGTTACTAATTGATGTTTCAATGGTTGCAGGCAAGTGCACTGTACAAATTAGTTGCTGAACGAGGACCTTGGAGTTCATTGTCTAGATGGGCATTGGAATCGTATCTGAAAGCTGACATTCGCAAGGCTTTCTTCTTGTATACAAGAATGGCAGAGCTAGGATACGAGGTGGCACAAAGCAATGCAGCATGGATACTTGACAAATATGGAGAACAAAGCATGTGTCTGGGGGAATCTGGCTTTTGTGCCAAGGCAGAAAGACATCAAAGAGCTCATTCTCTTTGGTGGCAAGCATCCGAGCAGGGCAACGAACATGCCGCCTTACTGATTGGGGATGCATATTACTACGGTCGGGTATGTTCGCAGAGTACGTGATACGATTAAATCGTAAATGTTTAAAGATCACAAGTTCGAGACCTTTATGTTTCTACTTTTCCATTTTTACTCAGGGCACTGACGTAGATTATGATCGAGCTGCGGAAGCATACATGCATGCCAAATCCCAGCTAAATGCACAAGCCATGTTCAACCTTGGTTACATGCATGAACATGGTCTAGGCCTTCCGTTTGACCTTCACCTAGCCAAGCGTTACTATGATCAAGCTCTGGAACTTGATCCAGCTGCTAGGTTGCCAGTCAAGTTGGCTCTAGGAAGCCTGTGGTTACGAAAGAATCATGCGGACTGTTTTCTGGTGGGTTTAATGGACTGCTCTTCTTAATATTTGCCTTGCTAGAGTACCTTAGCTCCTAGACACACACACACACAAAGTAGATTGTGTTATATTCCTTCACGCTTTATTCACACATGGACTTATCAAATGGGGTGTTTCTAATGTGTGAATTAGGTCCATGTGATTGATTCGTTGCCAGAAGTTTATCCAAAAATTGATGCATGGGTGGAGGATGTACTGTTGGAGGAAGGAAATGCAACAATTCTAACTCTATTTGCCTGCCTCCTCACTGTCCTATATCTTAGAGAGCGACAAAGGAGGCACGCAGCTGTTCGTGCTGCTGCGGTGGCTGTGCCACTCCACCCCAATGACCACGCGGTGGCTGCACAAAATTAAATCACTCCTTGTACTTCCGATTGAATTGATCAATCCTCCTTTTTTTTCTTCTAATTTTTAATGAGTTATGAGAATCTTTTCTGCAACATTATGTACAGGAAATTATAAGTCAACTGCGTGGTAAGAGCTTTTGGGCTCTTGGGAATTTCACAGCAGAGTAGAGGAAGAATTTCAAGGTGTTAAATCCATCAACTTGATAATAGAAAACAGAGAATTTTTTGTAGTGATTTATTACGAGGAAATTCCATTGTAGATTTGTATGAGGTATCCTCGCTTTGTCTTGTGTCGATCCTATTAATTGAACTGTTTTTTGTAGGAATCTTAAAAAGGACTATAAACAGCAGACGAACTTGCATTCATTGCTGCAAGTTCAATAATTCTGTGTAACATCTAGTTGAATTAATGCTACAAGCCTCAACTGGCTGCAAATATTCAGCACAAATGATATAATTTCTAGTACTCTTTATACTATATACTTCCTCTTTCCATACTATAGATTGGGAGAAATCTAAATTTTCATGCTATGAACTTCAAGCTTCCTATTTCACAATCTTAAATTTTGACTTACGACTCATAATAATACCCAATAAATAGAATCGTTGATACTTAACAAAACACAAGACAGACAGACAGACAAGCATCAGTAGGGTGGGGGAAGCATAAAAAAAGTAACAGTAGATTATGCCAAAGCAAGCACTGGGAAAGAATTATAAGAACACTCCTACTTCCAGTTTTCCACAACAAAACATCGCCTATTCAAGAGAAACCGTGAAAAGAAGAACTACTTGACGACTCCATATAAGGGCGTATGTCGAGCCATCAAAAATATCAAAAAGTTAGCGCGCGAAATGAACAGTGTTACACTGCTACAAGAACTGGCTCAGAAAAACACCTTACTGCAGACACATCGTCATCCTACTACCGTCCGAACGGAAGCAGCCGTAAGTCCGGCCTTTTTTTTCTTCATTGCCAGTAGATTATTAATCGTGAAATGATGAGAAAAGATGACATCAAAATACCAGATGCTAGGATTTCGCTAAAGAAAACAACATGTTTCAGAGTTTGAGCTCAAATTAATGACAACTTCATGGGAGTGAATCGCACAAACAACATCCATTTCACGCAATGAATGAGAGAAAAGAGGAGGAATACCAGTGCAGTCAGTTCGCCTGGGGAAACCGAACTCGATGATAACGCCAATAAGGTTAACCTTCTGATTGATGGAGGCAATGGCATCTCTAATCTCCATGAATTTATAATCGTCTCTGTGCTCCATCTCTCTCAGTCCCGCGAGTCTGGACCATTCGATTCCCCTCCCTAAATCCTAAAGACCTTCCGATTTAGGGTTTTATGCCTCAAAGTGGAAACAAAACTCTTTCCCGCTTTGTTTCGCCGGTTGAAATTTGCCCCAGCCCCGGATTGCTTTTTTTACTGCCGTTGAATTATGTTCGGCAAATTTTAACCTTTTTTACCTTAGATAAAAATTAAAATGGATTGTTTAATACTTTTTATACAACTACTTTTTCTTTTATTGAAATGGTGAGTAATTTATTTCAAAAATATTTCATAAGAGTTTCATAAATACTTTTTAATATTTTTAAATTTTTAAAAATATTTTCACCATTGATAAAATTCTTAATGATTACCAACAAATCCTATGGTTTCATTTCATATTTCGTTACAATGTAATCTTCATTATACAATCTATAGATACGTGAGGCCGTGACCCATATAGGTCACAGTGCCATATAGGTTGTGACCCATATAGCGCCGTTGTTGTTACTTTCTTGATTGCATATATAAAGTCTTTTTCAAAAATTTCTCTCTACCTTCGTTTTCCAAAACCGAGGCTTCTTAAACCGAATTGGCTTGGTGTCTCTTTCAAAATCTCTCTCTTGTTGTTACTCTCGAACATACGTCACTTGACCGTAGGTGACATAAGAACGAATTGACTTAGGTCACAGTGCCATATAGCCTGGAACAACATTTTATATGTTTCATATTACTTAGGTAGAGCATATAAGAAGATTACAAATCTAAAAAAAGCACGATAAAAGTGATGATTTTTGGTGATCGAGCACTTTCATTTATTGGGTGGGGAGGAGAAGAATGTAAATGAAAACAACAAAATCGAATCAATCCATCCAAAAAAATCAAACAGCTTTACATGAACTTATAAGATTTTCATGAGTCAAAAGACATAAAAGAATGAAAAAAAAAAAAGGGTTTGGTCGAATTCCATGAACAAAAATGGATTCATGGATAATCTTCGACCAAATCGATAGAGGACCAAAAAAGAACAAGAACAAGAACAAGGCGATGATGGTGGTGTTTGTTTAAGGCATTTTTACAAACCTTTGGCACCAGGAAGCTCAATCCACTGCAACTGGATTTCAACTTCGCCACATTCAACATTGCGCAAGCGCAGGCAAATGTTTTGAATAACCTTGCCTTCCTCCCACACTATGGCGCTCTCCTCGGCTAAGCAGTTTTGCCTGCATGGCTGCACTCTTGACAGCACGGTTCCACTTGGTAGCTCTGCCAAATCCATCTTCAGTGCTTCGATGTATGGCCCTATCTCGAACTCCGCATCTCCCATCTTGTCGTCCATCGTAAACGTGTCGTGGTCGTACACCGTCTACCATCGTTACATCAAATGTAAGCTCGAGTTCACGATATATAACAAAACAAATCTATACACAATTTAGAGATATCCATTTGGTCTAAATCAGGTCGGAGACGAAATTATATAACAAAACAAATCATCCCTTAAATTAGCTAATGTGAGACCCCTCCCGACCATCCTCAACATGATGATAAGTTGAAATAAGATGTGAAGACGGGGTTGGAAATGGAGAAGACTTTCCGTCCCTGTTCCATGAATTGAGTATACATTTTGAGATGAGTTACGTACGAGCTTGACTGAAACATCGGGGTCGGTAACAGAAAGAGTGAGGTCCTCGTTCCATTCAGGATTGACATCCTTCTTGATCACACGGGTCTTCAATTTCTGCGCATATAATCACCGAGAACCATATTCAAAACATGTTAGACACAAAATTTGAATCCATCGGTGGAGCGACCGGACGAAAAAAACCTGTTTATTCAATTTAACAACGATGTAAGGATCACTGCTGCGAACGTCGCGAACGGCAAGGTTGACGCCGCGAATGATCCGAATACGAAGAAGACCTAATAAGCTCTCCATTAAAGACGACGAAGAACGGCCTCCCCCTCCGCCGCTCTCTGGACTTTTTGGTGAATCTCCCACCTCTCTCTGTCTTTATATAATATTACACACTCTTCTCCCCC